CAGTGGAAGCCCCGCCCCCTCCGTCAACCTGTTCTGCTGTCAGAGGGTTGATGAGGTCACTTTGTTTCCTGTGATGTCACTTTGTCACCTGACACGTGTTTGTTTACTTGTTTACATCCTTTCAATGTTTACATCAATAACAGGTTCCTTTCTGCTGCTTGAGACGTTTTTCTGTTTCTGAAACTCATTTTTCTAAAACATAAACTTTGCAGGTGAAGCTTTTGTGATCAAATAATTAATTTATTCGTACAAGTTTGTGTGTTAAAGTTTAAAAGTTTAATCTCTAGATTTCTTTTGAAATCGTGATTTGTCCAAAGTTAAATGTTCAAATAAAGTAAAGAACAGGAAATGATTTGGATCTTCTCAACCTGAGGAAGTTCAGTAATTAGTCACTGATAAAAATCGTCTTTATTTGACCTTCAGCAGCTCAGAAACATTCACGTGTTTATTGCAGAGGTTAGAAAACTTTAATTTACAGTCGATTCCCTCAAAACTTTCCTCAAAATTCGGTTCTTTATCAAACCTCGAGTAGTTTCAGCTGAACAGCAGCTGATGGTTCAGAACGGATCCGGACAGTTTGTGGGAAATGATGTGAACCAACTGGTTTATAGATTTGGCACAAAGCGTCCCCATAGCAACCGTAACACCATCCTTCAGAGTAGAAAACAATCCGAGTCGCTGTCGATTCAACAGAAAAGATCCAGTTCAGAGGTCACTGGTTTCACTTAGAGCAGAAATATTCACTCATTTATATTCTGTTCAGAAACGTTGGATGCAAATTAACGTGAATGTATCCTGAACGTATCAGCAGCTCATCCAGAAACAGGAGGACTAGTCTCAGCTAACGCTAACTAGCAAGAGCTAGTAGCCATCTGTGAAGCTAACAGATGTTTTGGGAACAGAACAATTACTTTTGTACATGTTAAAGTCCCAGAATCAGAATGTGCTGAAGCTGAAACAGACGAAGCACATCTAAATCTGATCACAGTGGAGAGAAACAACACAGTGGTGCTAAGAGCTAACTAGTCTAGCATAGACGTCATCTTTAAGAAGGTCCAAACATACAAATTCTATTTTTACCAAACTCATAATCATCCCATAAAGTTACACAAATATATAATCACTGCAGGTTTGCTAAATTCTCTCTCTTTTTCACTCTTTCTGTAGTTACTGCTCCTGATGACGGTGTAGCTTCTGACTTTAGCGAGGTTGTTAGCTGCGTAGTCAGCATCAATCTGTGACTTCAGCTGCGTAGTTACCTTCTGTCTGGGACTTTAGCCCACTAGTTAGCTTCTATCTGGGACTTTTGGCCGAATAGCTAGCTTCTGTCTGGGACTTTAGCCTAATAGTTAGCTTCTGTCTGGGACTTTAGCCAAATAGTTAGCTTCTGTCTGGGACTTTAGCCGAATAGCTAGCTTCTGTCTGGGACTTTAGCCTAATAGTTAGCTTCTGTCTGGGACTTTAGNCCAAATAGTTAGCTTCTGTCTGGGACTTTAGCCGAATAGCTAGCTTCTGTCTGGGACTTTAGCCTAATAGTTAGCTTCTGTCTGGGACTTTAGCCCACTAGCTAGCTTCTGTCTGGGACTTTAGCCCACTAGTTAGCTTCTGTCTGGGACTTTAGCCCACTAGTTAGCTTCTACCTGGGACTTTAGCCGAATAGCTAGCTTCTATCTGGGACTTTAGCCAAATAGTTAGCTTCTGTCTGGGACTTTAGCCGACTAGATAGCTTCTGTATGTGCCTTTAGCCAAATAGTTGTAACTATTTGGCTAAACTATTTAGGCTAAAGTCCCAGACAGAAGCTTCTGTCTGGGACTTTAGCCTAATAGTTAGCTTCTGTCTGGGACTTTAGCCTAATAGTTAGCTTCTGTCTGGGACTTTAGCCNAATAGTTAGCTTCTGTCTGGGACTTTAGCCTAATAGTTAGCTTCTGTCTGGGACTTTAGCTGACTAGTTAGCTTCTATCTGGGACTCACTGACCGAGCTGTGGTCTGGATGAGCTGTTTTCTGAACACTGATATTTTGCAGCCAGTCTGGGCTGCGAGGAGAAAACCGGAGACAGTAACATGAGTTTTGGCACCAACATTCATCATCAGTACAAACTATGAACAAACTGCATACAAACACTGATTTAGTACCAAGTTTAAGGGAACCAGGTGGAGAAATGACGTGTTACTGAAGAGCCAGCAGCAGAGTGTCAGTGTGTTTGTGGAGTGTTTCCATGAGGTCACGTGGTCCAGAAGAACATCCTGTCCTCTCTGGTTCTGTGCAGCTTATACAGTCTCAGAGGTTCTTCAGGGACTCCATGTAGTGGAACGTGGCTCCTAAAGCCCAGCTGGTCTCCACCTGGTTGATGGTTCTGGCCAGCTGTCACACACACACAGGACGGTCAGAACCACCACAACCCACAGGCAACCAAAGAAGTCATCAATAAGACTGATCGATAATCAAAGTGATGACTCGCTGAACCTCTGCTGGTCCAGGTTCTGGTGCTGCTCACCTTGAACTGCTTGCTGGGGGGGAATCCGAGCTCCTGCAGCAGCACTGAGATGTAGACCAGGTCCAGACAGAGGAATGGACTCTGCAGAGGACTGACGGAAGAACCGCTGCACACTGCAGAACAAACACCACATCCAGCACCGGTTAACAAAAGGCCCGGTTCAGTCCAAAACCCTGCTGGTACCAACATTAGCTCCAGACTTACTTTAAACCCTGAAATCAGGAGGAAACTTTCCAACATCATCGATAGAACAAACTTCACTGAATAAAGCAGCACAGTGATGCTAGCAGCTAACTAGCTTAGCATGGCTGTCTTCTGCTAACATACAAAATAAGATCTCATCAAATATTTACTAAAAATGTTAAACTGCAACTTCACATCTTACACGATTAATGCAGGTTTGTAAATGTTGTCTGTGAATAAAATCACATATTCAGCCAGAAAGTATAAAAACGGAACAGTTGGATTGTGAACTTTCCGACAGTGTTTGAACGCCTCATCTGTGACGGACGGTTTCATCACAGCAACGAACCAAAGCTGAGCCCAAAGTTTGAAACTTTCAGAGAAAAAATAGACAAAAATTAGGCTTTTGTTCTGACAGCATTCAGTGAAACAGAAGACTGAGCTCCTCGGCACCTCCAGCAGGAGACCAGAACCAGCTACGCCTCTGTGGAGACAGCGGGTCCAGGGTCCAACATCTGGGGAACATGCTGGGTCCAGAAGTTTACCTTCTATCATACAAACATAACAAAAGACATTCAGCTTTTTCTTTTCTCTCTGGTCTCCGTGGTTCTGAGTCCGGCTGACAGAAGACGTCCAACTTCTCTCTCCTTCTTCATGTGGTTCTGGTTCCACGGAGCTGCAGGACTTGATGTTGCACAGAAACATGGACCAGAAGCGGCTCAGAGTTCAGAGACGTTTAGTTTCATCTTTTCTCTAGACTCCTGGTTCTGTTTCTGGAGCTGATCTGTTCCGGTCTGGGTTTCATCGCCACAGTGTGAGGACGGGTTCTGTTCTCAGCTGGACTCTGCTGCTCTGTTCACTATCAAAGTTCAGCTTCTTTGACTCTTGTCACAATAACAACAGCGGGGCGGGTTGAGCCGGCGTCCCACGTCCAGGCCTCCGGTCCCGATGGGGAGGTCATGGGTTCTGGTCCCGCTCATGGCCCTCTCTCACCCGTCCTCCATCCACTCTCCAATAAAGGCACAAAGGCCAAAAAATAACTACAAAAACAACAACAGTGGGTAGAGTCGGAGCTCTGCAGCCAGGGGGCGCCGTCTCACCTCTTTTGGCGGCGTCGATGTACGTGGACACGGTGATGGTTCCTCCCTGCTGCTCATCTGCAGAACAACCCAGAACCAGGTGTCGTTAACGGATGAGCTCAACGACTGGAACCAATAAAAACGCTTCAGTGTTGAAACATTAAAAGATAAAAATAGAATCCAATCAATAAACAAAAGCTACAAAACAAACAGCAGAAAAATAAAACGATTGAACGAGAAAAACTGTCATAAAACAAAAATAATCAGATGAAGTAGAAAAGCTGCGACTGAACCACATGCAGCCAATCAGAGGTCACGAAGAGCAGCAGCTTCCTACCGATGGCGGCGAGGTCCACGGCTCGGTCGTAGTAATACGAGAACGCGTAGAAGTCCGTGTCCGTCACCTCCGACGCCTTCATCACCTTCCTGTACAGAACCTTCTCCACTTTGGTGAGGCACGCCTGGTAAACTGGCTCCCCTGAAACACAAGCACAAAGGTTCCTACCTGCTCCAGCTGCATGAAGGGGGACAGCCGGCCAATCACGTCGCTTTACCTGCTTTCTGTCCCCTCACAGTGTAGATGATGTCAGCGTGCTCCCAGCTGCCGGAGAACTCAGGAGGAAGACAAGGACTGACCAGCTCAGTGCTGCCCCCTACTGCACACACACCAGAGACACACAAGGTTCTGTTACTGCTCCCTTCAACTCTGAACCCCGATTTAATCGGACTTCTGCAGCAACTTACAGAAAGACGCTCATGTCAAGATTAAAACAGATCTCGGCCAAGAGCAGAGGGCGGTACCGCCCAGCCACATCAGGGGGTTAGCCAGATATGCTGGGCCTGAAGTCAGAGTTCTCAGCGTCATCAAGGTGGCTCTCTTTTTACCTGCCAGGTCTCCATGGTAACTGATGCTGTGGAGCTAGGTCTCCAT